TACCAAGTATTTGCTGACCACGGGTGGCCAGGTATCATGTGCAGTGATAACGGTAGCGAGTTCTGCGCTGACATAATGGAATCGTTAGTACTCGTATCAGGTATGTGCCATAAAAGGGGTGTACCATATTAACCGCAAACACAAGGCGCGAATGAAACGCGCCATAGAAAACTTAAGTTCTTCTCACGTACTGCATTAAAGGATGATGCAGATGATTGGCCGTACCACCTTAAGTGAGTACAAACACAGATGAACGAGTGTGCTGATCGGTTACAGGTACAACACCCGCTCACTAATTTCGTGGCAGATATAGTGAGTTACAAATACCTTTTTACAAGGACGAACCTAATCACCATGAGTTATCATGGTCAGAGAAGGTAAAACGTATTTATAACTTTGTATATCCTTGCTTGCAAGAACACGCAATATTGCCTTATTAAAAAGGCAAAATAGATGGAATGCTACCAAAAAGATAGCAGAATATCAAGTTGGAGACAGAGTTAACATCCGTCAACGTAATTCAGATGCTACTGTATTAACATTTAAATGGATAGGACCATATATAATATCTGTAGCTGACGTTTAAAGTGGGTTAATAGCCCCGACAGTTCCGGTGCTTTAAATATAGGCACTAGTCGGATTTCGACTACTGAGACTATTCTTGCAAGAAGACACGACTCTAATGCCCCTCTTGATCGTTCTGAATTTTAAAACATTATATGGAGATTGGGTAAGGGAGGCTATACATACTATCGTACACGCTTTATAGACGGCACAATCGCTTGGTTGACTTTAGATGCTTTCGATAATCAAGACTATTTAAAAGACTTTAATGGCGTAAATGCCTGGATAAGTAACAAGCTGAAAAAGATGGCATGTTTCCATCGCCTGAAGGCACGGAAATTAAAACTTACCCTCCTACAGCATTTATCCCGAGCTTTAATGCTCACCCTTCATATGTGCTTAAGACACTGAAGCGTAAAAAACATCCAGTCGACCACCTCGGACATACTGGACCTAAGCCCAAAAATCCCAGGGTAACCGAGAACGCTTAACTTCTCCGCCTGAGAAACATTAACTATACGTTATGCTACTTAATGTTTTCGACCCGTTTTACCTTTCTCTCTTTTTAACCCATAATCAGCTCGAGTGAGCAAATTGCTTCTCCTGGGTCTCAAAGCTGGGTGAGGGCTGTGTAACAGCCGGGCCTCCACGTTAGACTCTATGTTATAAACGTACTCTTAAGCAGTACGTAAACTATAAACGTACTCTAAATAGTACGAGGAACTTAAGTTTCCTACATGGTTTTTTGACGGATTTATTAATTAATACCTTTTCCATTTTATATATCAGATATTCGGACAAGGCCATTAAAAGGCCCCGGTAAATATCAAACATAAGATTTGGTCTAGTTCTATTAATAGAACTATATTTACTTTCTAAATCTATTTATATCTGAATATTTCTGTAGCGAGATGGCTCAACCGAATATAGGTTTCTAGGGACTATAAGCATTACCTAGTTTAACCTCCGTTCAGCCAACCAAATGTGCCAATCTGATGGTTGCTAAGTCGATAACTCTTGATGAGTGGCAAGTTATTGGTTAAGACAATAACTAAGGACATCAATAGTATTTTCTTCTTCTTTTTTCTTTCTAAACTTTCCAAATCTATTTATATCTTAATATTTCGGTAGCGAGATGGCT